TTGAAAGGCAACGACATTGCGTCAACAGAATTATTTTTGGATATCTTAATTTTTTTCACCTTATCTGGTGTGTATGGTGTATTTAAATATGGCAAAGCACACGAGGGCTATCTGCCTAAAGGGAGGGATGCCTTTCGTGGAGGACTTTCTAAGGGAAACTGGCTCGTATACACGTTACACATGGGGAAAACCACGAAAACGCCCATGCAGCCAGCCCGTTCGCGGGATTCGAACCTCAGACCGAACTACCAGTGTTTAGCGTCTTTACCGCTCGGCCGCTTCACCTTATCTGGAGATATTGTAAAAGATTTTTTTAAATTTTTTTAATCGGTTGCAGTTTTTTTAAATAACATTTATGGTCGAATTTAATAAAAAAAAAAAAAAAAAAAAAACATTAGCGAGTGAAATTTAAAATAATATGTAACAGTTAAAATTTTAAATTCTATTCTACGATTTCAAGGAAATAATTTAAAGTTCGATTTTAAGGCTTTTTATAAGCGAAATTCGTTATCAGTTGTTTTTATTTCACGAATGAAATTGCATCTGTTTTCTATATGGGAACAAAGTCGCGAGCTGACATAAGCAAAATCTTTTTCAGCTAGGTTAGAACAGGAGGAGGAATCAATTGGAAATGAAAATCCATGCTAACAAACGGAGGAATTTTTTCTTAGTTAACATATGTCTGGAACTTGGCGAAATGTGTTAAATTCTGTGATGTTATATTAATAATAGATTTAAAAGTAATAACTTAATGAATTTATTATGAAACACACTGGTGAGTTAACTGAAAGTTTCTTCATCCACGCATTTGAAGATTAGCATTTTTTACACTCGTCTTACTTATTGGCTCTTAAAGCTTTAATTTCTATCAACCATAAGAGCTACGAGAACGTAAACATTGCCTCTGATATTCGTTCTTAAGCAGGATGCAAACGGTTGTTCTGCATTCAAGTTCATAAATAAATGACCATCTTAAAACATCTTTTATTAATTACAAGTTCAACTGTTCTTAGAGTGTATTAATTCTGTGTAGTAAAGTGATATAAATTACCAACTTTTCATGTTTGACTAGGAGCTCCAGATTTTTAATCACATCTCCCGGTTTTTTTTAAATTTTAGCTTAAAGAAAATTGCTAAAGAAATGGTTTCCAATCAATGGGTAAAATTTATTGAAATAATGAAACCTAAATTGTGCAATTTTTACGCTCGTCTTAAGCTACGATAGAAATCTGTACAATTTTTTATGCAAATTCGACTAATGTTTTATTAGTTAATTAAAGTAAGAAATTTACTGTAATAGTCTTAATTTATTAAAACTAAATTTCAACAGGTTTAACAACTACCCCTTGATAAGTCAGTCTCCTGCTTGCTGAACAGTTATTCACTTATGCATTTTTATAAATTTTTAGAATTAAAAAAATTTATTGGAATAATATTTTCATAGATTTTGATACTTGCACTTGATTTATATATGTTCTCAAAATTTGAATGATATTGTAGATTAGTTCGCAGCACTAATGAATCATTTATTTGTAATTCAATTTCATTTAAAATTTCATTAACTTAAAATTTGCTTTTTACAAATAGGGAATGTTTGTTAAATTCAAATTTCATTCTTTGCAGCAATGGTGCACGAGAATTATTTAAATTTAATTTAACTTTACTATGTTCTTTTGAAGTAATTAAATATTTATGTATTTCACATCAGAATCATATTATAATAGTTAAATAATGTGAATTATATATTATAAAGGGAATTTAGTTCAGTTTGGAGTATCCGCGAAATGTAATCTCAGTTTTTCATATTTCAGCTTTGGCAGCTATGGTTTTAATTTAAAAAGTAAATGACAGCTGCTATGGAAATTGAATGGCGATGCCATTTAACTATCTAAGTATCTATCTAAGTATAACCATTTCTAACATCATTAGGTAACATTTTTTATGGACTTTGATGTGTCCCATTCTATTTATAGTATACTGCTGAAATCGGAAACATCAAATTATAAGTTTATTATTACTAATTTGACGCTTACATTTTGAAAATAATTACTTTGATATATAGTCAAAAGTCATGAAAAGGCGAAGTAATTATAAAAAGTAAAGTCCAGTTAGCAATAAAAATAAAACAAGTAAATCTATTTAAAAAACTTTATTTGATGAATGTACACACATATTTCGAAACAGATTCAGTATAGCCCATCTTCAAAGTCTGGCGAATTTTTTTTTTTTTTTTTTGGCTCCAAAGCGCGTGAAATATGTTGTTCTGAAAAATGGTTACCATCGAGATTTTCGACAAAACTCCGTGTTTCAAAAATGGCGGCCATCTTGATTTACCAGAAATTGTAGATAATACAAATAAATTTTCGGCTATTATACACAATTTTAAAAGAAAAAAATATTAAGGAATGATTAATGAAAATGATTGATGTAATTTTAAAAACAATGCCGGAAAATCTCACCTTTGCTTGGCTTTCTCAAATGTAAAATAGCTTTGCATGGTATATTACGTTTTTCACAACAAACTTTATCTTTCAATAATCCACAATAGGTTTAAATCCATCCGTCACTAAATGCAAAAATCTTTTCTCCAAAACAGTATTCTGCACAATATCTGAGCGTTAAACAATCGCCGAAAATAGCGTTAAGAATTTTGTATTTAGATAGTTAATTTTAGTAGAATTCTAATTAAAAATGTTGTATTTCCCCGTGCAATGTAGCGCGAGACCAATTCTACGAGAAAGTTATGCCGGAAAAGTAAGAATACAGGGGAATGTGCATTTAACTCTGAGTAAATGGAAATCTCGGTGTTTCGCATTGAAATTGAAAAATTGTAATTGACCACTATGTTAGCTGTAACCATAATACCTATCCTCTTTAGAAATCATAAATTTACGGTTGTTTACATTGCGTTTGCCTAATAGCATGGGTTACCACATGCTTGTTAACCGGTGTGGGTTGCCACATCACATCATTTATCGCCATTCTTGGCGATATTTTTTGGTTAAAATTCTGGGTGGGCTATACTAAAGCTGTTCCCATTTTTCTATTTCTCTATAAACTTTTCTTATCGGTTTAAAACTTAAGGTAAAAAAAAAAAACGGGGTTTTTATACCTTCTTCATAGAACTCTGCAGTTGTGATGATAGCTAGTTATTGATGGTCATTTTTACTTCTCTATTAGTGTTTTTATCTTGCTTAATCAATTTAATCCATTTTCGTATTATACTGTCATTCATAATAGTATTATTGTTGTACATTTCATATAACTGGACATAAATTTCGTCACTTTTCATATTTCTTACTGAACCGGATGACAGGCCATGTTTTATAGTCGGTAGAACGCGCGATTTTTCTCAAATATTTTTACTTCACACTACGAAACGTATAGTTGAACCTACAAATGTAAATGTCATCTGAATCTGCGTAACGGAGCCCTCTCATTATGTCGTACGTGCGAAATTTCACAAACGGGCTTTATTTAACAAAATTCTCTGCGTGAAAGAGTAGCATCATATTTATATGGGACGAACTATTCGTTTAAAATTTTTAATTAATTTACATTCCTTCAAAATGATTTCATTTCTTCCAATACTTATATTTTTGCCACTGAATATTTCTTATTGGCCCTGCAAGGCACTTTTTGTCACTGTTAAAGGCATTTTTGGCGATTTCAACACATAGGGGTGTCCATGAGCGGTGGTTGAGCATGCTTGTTCTTGTATGAAGCCGCTTCCCTCTCAGTTTTGGAAAGCGATGAAAGTCACATATGTTTATATCTGGAGGAATACGATGAATGTTTAAGTATTCTTCGAGTGCTCCATTAAAAATTAACAATTTCTCAATGAGTAGCAATATGAGATTGAGGGTTTTTGAACAAGAGAACAGGTGGATTGAGTTCGAAGGTTCAGTCACTTAATATTTCGTCAGGACATGTTCCAGAAAGTGTCGTTATATTCTTTGTTAACCGTATATACTGAAGAATCGCATGATGAAGTGGGAACATTACACCCAAATTTACCGGCTGGTGGCGCAATCTTTTAATATCCTCAAATGAAATATTATTGTTTTCACATCGCGACAAGTGAAAATCCATGTCCCAGAAAAACAAAAGTTGCAACTAATCGAAAAGAAGTTATAGATCTTTTATTTGACATTCATATTTATTTTCTTTTATTTAACTTTCGAAACTGCCTCACTCATTAGCGTAACAAAGTGAATTCTTTAAAAACAATCAGTTCTTATTGATATTTTGAATTCTTCTTTGCATTTTTATCCTTTGAGTATAATTAATAAAACTGAGTCTGCTATATAATATGCATCGAAATTGCAAAATTTTTAATTCTGCTTATTTAATATTAAAAAAAATCATATCTATGGAAAATTTATTATTTTCTAGACAAACTGAAAATACCGGACTTCGTAAAGAACATTTTTAGATTCATTCAACGTAATTTACTGAAAAGTTATTTTGGGGCTCGAATATAATATCCCAATGAATTCTTTAATTTTATTATTTGAAAATTCTGTTCTAAAACAAATGGTTCTGCCTGACATGGTTGCAAATGAGGTAGTTGTACCATGTTTTAACGAAGGAATAAAGATTGCGGGTCATAAAAAATTTGGGTGATAATGCAAGGCAACATGCTTTATCAAATAAAACTGATTTACAGCGTATTCATAGAAACTGAAAAAAGGATTGTAGAGTTTCAATCATATACTTGATACCTTAAAATATTATTCAGGAGAACAAATTCTCTCAACTAAAACGCATTTTGGTGTTTGATTTCGCCATAAACAGCTCTGCTAGTGGTATCCTGCATCCTTTAAAGTTTCGCCCATAAATTAAATAAAAATAACAATGTCAATAATAATCCTGATTTCATATGTCAGTATTTGCCTTTCCTAAACACTGCAGTGTTTTTTCTTCTAATTGTTTACTCTGCTTTAAAGGTCGGTTACATTAAGATCAATATTAATTGAGTTCTTTTTGTTTCTTTTCAGGCTTACATTGCATGTTCATGGGGCATACATCATGTAGGCTTTGTAACAATCTGTTTCGGAGTGTGCGGAGCCATCATGGCCGTCCTTGTCGGGCCTCTGGTCAGGTGTATCTCGCAGATGTCTGTGCTGATACTGGCGGCTTGCATCAATGTAACTACATGCGGGCTTTTATATGTTTGGGAACCCACCCCTGATAATGTAACAACTTACTTCGTGTTCGCCGGTGTCTGGGGCATGGCAGATGCAATATGGTGGTCTCAAATTACAGGTAAGAAGATGCAGGCCTAGTGTGAAGAATATATATGAAGCATTTTATTTATTTTAAATTGTCTTTGCTTTAACTTACTTAGATAAATTAAAATGAATGGTATGGCCTAAATCTAGTTCATTTTTAGGTTAACATCAGTAGTATAGTGTAAATGTCAAAGGAATAAAACTTCATTATAGGACAGACTACAAATATAGCTAAAAACAAATAAAGCATTTTTTTTTAAATACCAGAAAAAGAATAATGAAAGAATGAAATTGCTATGAGAAATTGAAATAATGAAAGAATAAAATTGCTATAAGAAATTGAAATAATGAAAGAATGAAATTGCTATCTTAGATTTATTACTTTTTATGGTACTCAGATGGACAATTTTAGTCATAAAATGACACATTGCTGTCGGGTAAATGATTTGCAGTATGAAGTAGTCCAAATCAAGCCAGGTTCACAAGATGAAACACAACTTAGATTGTATTCAAATGAGATTAATAGGGAACCAAAGACATTCAATTCCAAATTTCATTTCATTATCTTAAAAAAACTGCTACTTTATTTCTCGGCATGAAAAATGTAAGAACAAAGAGATGGATTGAATAGTTCACTTTATTTTAAGTAATCCAATGGATGGTTAAACATTCATGAAGAATTATGGCAGAATCCATCCATCAAATTTAGCTGTCTCGTCACCATAAACACTGCTCGAGGTTCACAACAGGGGCGACCGATATTAAATCCATCAGAACGGGAGGAAGACGACATACATATAGAGAAACTCTGCAGGGGAATCGAATTTGTACTCTAGCAGTCAACCTTTGCTAACCTTCATACTATCAGAGCAGCATAATCCACTTTGTGGGAAAAGGACCAGTCACTTCATTGACCATTTCTACTGAAATAGTTAAATAATGAGTAGGCGGTTTGTTATGATAATAGTTATATGATGTTATGATATTATAGTTTTATAATGTTACATGCATTCACGCACTATTTGTCTCATACATTTGATTCCGAATATTATTGTAATGCATTTCTTCATCTACGTCAAGTTATCATTTTCTCATTTACGCACTATGCAGCTGTCAGTACTGCATAAGCTAATTGCAGCTGTACTTAATAAATGCGCTCGTTATTTTAGCTCTTTGTATTCCATCACTTGTTGTAAGCGATAAATGCCTTCCCGACCACTTCCCGTATTTTGGCAGATGGTTGATTTTCTCCTCTTGCTGGATTTAAAATATGAGACAGCCGTTCAGTCCTTGGCGAAATGAAAAAGAAAATTAGGCCCTCACATCAGAATGTTAAATTACTGATGAAAAAGCCTAATTTTTTAAACCATAGTAATGAAAAGTCATAATTTTCATAAAGATGAAAGATGTTACTTTTTATTCTCATGAACATCTGCTGTTATACAAGTATACTACTTTTTATGTAATGGTTCTTAAAAAATAATCATTTCATTTCACTATCACACAACACCTTTGAGTGAAAAAAGTCGCTTTATATTATACGTCTTCCCATTTAATGTGCTTCAAAAACCCTCTTCTCTCTACTGAAAAGGATCTAACCGATCCTAAATTCTAATACATTAACTGTCTATAATCACTCAGATATCGTTGATATTCCTTTTCATTTAATTTCAAATGCCATCTTCATGACCTTGACAGCAAAGATTGGTATTCTTCTTTAATGATTTGAATCAAATTAGAACCCACTACATTTCTTGAGGCAATTTTCATTCATCATTATGACGATAGCCGGTTATTTCTAATGACATGACAAGGGCATGTCGTTTTAATATATGTTAATCATTTTCTTCCACCACCGTTTGATTTATACGTTTGGAAACGTTATACGGGGTCTAACACAAATTATACCTGTAATGATCGACAACTGATTTTGCCACGTGAAATCAAATGTAACAATAAAGGGGAAAATTCAGTGTAGATCGTAATTCCAGTGTAATTCGATAACTAAACTGTATTGAAAACTGCAGTTTTTCGTAAAATTCGCGGAAAGTTGCTAACATAAAGCATTTTTGAAAAATGTTTTTGGAAGTCAGCCCCGAAGTTAATATGTATGATGCATGTATGTGCGTGTTTTCCTCAATGTCCGGATGCTTGTTAGGTAAGCATTTTTTTTATAAAGTGGCGAAATCTATTAATTTAGTTACACATCGAGAACTCTGTCTAAAGTGCACCGCAGAGAGAGAATACACTGATATTACAACCGCAGTAAAGGAGATAAAAAATTACAAGCATTTTTTTGTCTTTTTCCGGTATATATTAATATTAATTATAATTACGTGCAGTCTACAGATAACAGCGAACCTCAATCACTCCGTTTTCCTAATTATTGGCAGTAAAATATTTGATAGCTGATCTTAGGTTTCGGCATTGACCATCGAAACGAGCTACCACATACCGAAGAATAAGCTTATAAGGTATTTCTCCCAATTACCTAGCGTGCCTTCGTGGTGTAGTGATTCTGCACGCTGGACCGGTATTCCAGAGGTCCGTGGTTCGATTCCCGGCGAAGGCGGTTGCATATTTTGCATCTTTCCTACTTCCAATTAACCTAATGACTCTACAAGCTGAAGACTCGAAAACCATGCACATCTTTGGGCTTGCCTTTCTTAAGATCCTGGAGTGAAGAACTGATTTTAACACATTTTAAACTGCTGTTTCAAATATATATATATATATATATTAAACTGCTGTTTCAAATATATATATATATATAAAGTAAGAAATTTAAAACCAGTTTTTCACGAAGGCCAAAAATGTAAATTCGTAAGTAATACATTTTATAAAATCCTATAAATGTAAAAAAGAATTTAATAAATATGTAGAATCATTAGGTTATTTCGAAGCAGGAAACATGAAAAATGTGCAATGCCCTTGCCGGAATTCGAACCGCTGACCCGTCGAATACGCGCCGAGTATGCTAACCATTACACCACGAAGAAATACCTTATGTACTCCGCCTTTTAAAGGGAGACTGGGGATACAGGGGACCCAAACGCCAACTCCTGGTGGTCCATCATCGTTTTTAGTTCGGGTGCCACAGTAGAGTTATTAGGTTTCTTTTTATGCGGGAGACATGAAAAAATGAGAAATGCCCTCGCCGGGGCTCGAACCATGGACCTCTCCTCTGACATGAAAAATGAGAATGCCCTCGCCGGGGCTCGACCATGGACCTCTCGAATACGCGCCGAGTGTGCGACCATTAACCACGAGGCATGCTAAAAGGCGGGAGAAATCTCTTTAAATGCTAAAAATCAATACTTCAAAAGAGTATAAATTAAAAAAATCAATGAATTTAAGAATAAAGAATATTAAGAAATATCATCACTTCATGCACTTCGTCAGGAGGAGGAACATGAAGTCGTTTGAAATCTCCTTTTTATTAAAAAAAAAAAAAAAAAAAAAAAAAAAAACTTGATTAGCCATAACATTCTAATGTATTTATTATAATTTCACCAGAAAATTCCCAAGCAGCAAAAAAAACCAAACCACCTTTAAACAACGATCCAAAGAAATTAAAACGTAAATGAAATAATATTACTTAGAGAAAAATTCAATCAAAATTTTAAACCTTTCAGAAAGAGAACTTTATGCAAATAATTGAAGTGAAGTGGAAAATAGAAAACTTTAGTGAAAAGACTTATCCAACGGAATAAAAAAACAAACACACAGATTATATTAATATTTTAAATATTTTGTAATTATATATAGACAGTGGGCTCCCAAAAGTGTTCGTACACTTATGATTTTTCATGAAATAGGGCTCTATCCATTAATAAATAAAAACGATGAGATTTTTAATATAAGATCTAATAATCTATCCGTAACAACATTACATGAAATATTCTATATTTTTTTAAATATCGAGAACCTAATTTTTCAGAAATAATAAACAAAAAATGACAACATTTATCTCACAAAATTTTTGTACACTGACATTTTGGAAAAACAAATTAGAATGATCGTTTTTTTTGTTTTTTTTTTTTTTTTTTTTTTTTTTTTGGCATTTTTTTTTTTTTTGTTTTTTTTTTTTTTTTTTTTTTTTTTTTTTTTTTTTTTTTTTTTTGTTTTGACTTTTTTTTTTTTTTTTTTTGAATTTTTTTACTCGTAACTTACTTACCTCTTAATAATATATAATTTGTTTAACTTGAAACATGGGTCGCATCGTAAAGAAATTCCAAACAGCATTCGAAAATTGAGAATTTTTCACCAGAGCGTGGTAATCATTCGAAATATCGCTACATTAGTAATTTATACCATTCCTACGTGCAGTATGTGATAAAGACGCTTTAAATGAAGAAAAGGATTGAAACAGGTAAGCAAGGTCGACAGAGAAGTTAACTAAACGGGGAAAGAGTAGTAACGTATTAAAAAACTGTGAAAAACCCCGTTGGTGCTGAAAGTTTCTGCAGAATTTAAAAAGTTTTCTACTTAAATTCACCTTATGTTCAGACGAGCTCTCAGAGAAGCTTGGTTACATGGGCCGTTCTGCCCGTAACAAATTGTTTTTATGAGAAAAACATGCTTAAGCTTTTCATTCGCAGAAACACTGATAAAACACCGAAACGGTACTGTAATAATGTGTCCTATTTGTTGAGGAAAGCAATTTACATTTTTTTTGTTCCGTGGTGAATAACTATATGGAAAAAAAAGGATGACTCATTCTAAGACTTATTTTGGAAAATGAGCATGGCGGTGGAAGTTTCTGGTGTGGTGGTGCATGGCAGCATCAGGACATGTATTTGGTATTTTATTGATGGCATAATGACTCATTCTCTTATTTAATATTTTAAAGCACGATTTAATTATGAGAAAATTTGTTACTAGGAACAACTTTAACTAATTAATAACGATCCTAATTTAGGATAACGTTCCTGTAGTCTCTATAACTGTGGAGTCTGTCCACAGGTTTGAAACACCACCACCAGTCGCCAGATTAAGCCCATAGAACCATTGGCAAGATCTGGAGGTAGAGTA